TCAAAGGTGGTTACAATCCATTTTCACATGGCTGTCGTCTCAACTGTATAATCATTTTATTTGGACCTCAGTTTCCTAGGTAAACTTGTTATCATTTTCATACACAAAATATAATTTACTATAGTAATAATAATAATTTTACATCTTAGTTTGTTGAAAGTAAAAACTTCCAAGTATCAAAAACATAAAAAACAAATTCAGAACAGTTTTAATGTACCTCCGCCATTATTAACAAAAGAAGATGATTGTGGGCCACCTGTTGCTAAAACTTACTTGGATAATAGCAATGGCTTACATCATTCATCAAATAATTATAATAAGGTAAGACTTATTTATCAGTTTTTAAGATTTATTTAAACAATATATGAAGGATTTTAATTCAAATTTATGTTTTTTTTCAAATGTGATGTACAATACTAGTGCAAGAGTGGTAAAATTGTTATTATAGTACTCATTGTTTAATGATTTAAGTAGCCACCTTAATATTTTTTAATTTATAGCTCCAAATCCATAATCAAAACTTGTAACATGTTAATTAAAAGTAAATCAATCAAACTATTTTGCAACTGTTTATTAGTTATAAATTATAATATTTAAGTTTTGACATTTAATTTAATTATTATTGTTTTTTTTTTKACTATTTCTACTTATTTAACTGGTTATATTTTACTTGTAAGTCAACCAATTCTGTTTTAACTCTTAGTAAAATATAATTTTTCATCTAATAACAATTTKCATGTTACATTGATCTCACTTTATTTATCTATGTGAAATTTTTATAATTTTCTAGATGTCACCAGGAAGAGAGTGTTTAGAGCTGGATATTGAATTAACTGCTTCACAGTCACAAGACTGCGAACCAACACCGCCATTACAGCGACAAGGCTCAAAAAACAATTTCTATCTACCCTCATATGATACAACTGACAGTGCTAGGATGTCTTATGTGACACGGACAGCTCCTCACCCATCGCGGCCCAGGTACATTATTTTAAAGAGTAATTAATTATATTTTACATTTTTTATGTTTATCAATATTAATTATAATTTAAAAAAGAATGAATGAAATGGGCAACAGTTTGTCAAGAGAAACTATGATGGATCCTAATCGTCAATCCAACATCATTATGCAAAGTCCAACAATGCAGCAAAGAATGAAAGCTATCGGAGTACCCACAGCTTTGGCACTATCTAGTCCATTAAGGCGGTAAGTGCTGTTTTTAATTTACTGAATAATCTAGAAATTATTTTAAGTCTGTCTATATCATATCTAGTAGATGTAAAATTTTCAGAATAGTATTAAATAGTAAAAATAAAGTAATTGAAAACACCCGAGAGCAACTAGACTAGAGACTCTTCATATTAATATAATTTTTTAGTTAATTTTGTATAACTGAAGAAGTAGTAGCCAGTGACAGATTGTCAAATTCAAGTTTTGTAAGATTTGAAAACCAAAATTTAGAACTTGGAGATCTTTAATTGTTGCACAAAGAAATTATATACATAGTCATGTTGAGTTAATTACTATAGATTAATAGATAAATGTCTAGTTATTGCACTAAGTTTAAAATCAATGAAATGTCGAATTAAACCAAATCCAAATAAGTTAGTATACACAATATTCACTTTATATCAGTCCTTCTGTCTAAATGTCTCTTTAAATATTATTCTTATTCCAACGTCTAACACTGTCATCTGACCTAGGATTCAATTTGGATCAACGCCTTACTTGGAATGCACACATCCGTTTCAAAAGACTCGCCTTAAATGCTCGACTTCGCAGTCTACATCCCTTGCATACTAATAATAAACTCTCTAAACAGTCTAAACTAAAAGTTAAAGTTCTTATGTATAAAACACTTCTAAAACCAATGTGGACCTACCTACAGTCTTCAATTGTGGGGTACTGATGAGGTATCTAATACCAACACYAGAATGTTGCTCTTAGAAAAATTACAATTAATGCTCCACTTTTTGTGTCTAATTATACTCTACATAAACACCTCAAAATGAAAACCATGACAGAAGAAGCTGTAGATTTCTACAAACGCTTTCACATAATCGCCTACAAACCCGCCAAAATCTATTGATAAAGAGCATATACACTCAAACCATACCAAAAAACCCCGGGCATTGTCTAAAAAGGAACTGGTGCCGTAACTAGTTATAAATAAAAAATTATAAATAAATTAAAAAAACAAACAAGTTCTAGACTCTAGACAGCATTAATTCCCAGCCAAGTGTCACCAATGGGTGAATTTCTTAATTCAAAATATTCATGCTACTATTATATCATATATTATATATTGCATATATTGTGTTATGTAGTACAGACTGTGTATTTCAGGTTGTAAAAGAAAAAAAAAGTTTAAAATCAAACATTTGCAATTATATGATATTCCATTATTTAACAATCAAATTTATCTGGTTGTTGCACCAAACAACGTGGTTTTTTTTTCTTAATAATGTGCAAAGAATATCTAACTTAAATCAAAATTTGAAGGTGTTTTGTTGCTGCTCTCCTTTCTTTAATAAATAAAACATGCCACACACATGATAAAAAAAAAATATTAAATGTCACTCTATAAACTATATGATTTAAACATTTTGAATACTACTTGGCTATTGTAAAAGTGTAAAACAAATATAAAGCGAGCAATGTCTTACTTCCTTTGTATGTCCTCCGTATTTTGGTGAGAAGTTATCACATCAATATTAATATAAAGATAACTGACAGAATTAGATGTTTAATAATGCGTGTTAAGAAATACTTATTGCTCATTTTCTCTCCTGAAAAATTTAGTTTAAAAGTATTTTTATTTCATTAATTTTTATTCTCCTTTTTGTATATTAGATCCAACCCGGGAACTCCTACTCAAGTGAAACGACCTGACTTTATAGGAGTCGGTTCTTCTGCTAAACATTATGAATACCAAGAACGTAGTCCACAACGGCGTTTTTTATCTGAAGGTGACATTTTACGGGAGCATGAACGTCCGCCTTCTTATCCACGTATAAATAATACCGTTGACAATATTCAAGAATTAGCTGGATCACCGCAAAGAGGTGTTTATACATGGAAAGATACCCCTGGTACAACTGGTTCTTACTATGTCCCCAGACAAGCACCTACATTCAACTATTGTGCAGCACATAATGATTATAGATCTAATCCAACTAGTCCGACTACAAAAACGTATTACCCTGTTCGCGGAGGGGTTCCTGTTTATCCACCTCAACCATCCCCTGTTGGCAAGAAAAAACCTCCTCCTGTACAAACTAGGAGACCTATGTCTTTTGCCAGKGCTATAGACCATGATGCAATGGAGATGTCAATTAATAGAGGAAACAGTACCGACAATGGAAGTCCTGATCGTAAAAGTGCTTATGACAAAAACTATGAAATATCTGTTTAAATGTGTTGTTGATAGCTTTCTTTTTAACTTTCCAGAATGTTTTTTATGTTATGTTAAATTATTGTCATGTGCATACTTTGAATAGATTGAAATTTACTGTTGTAAATATAATATATATATATATATTTTTTTTAAGGCCCATCAAAAGCAAATATATTACTTACAAAGTTGTGTGTTACAGGGTGTTGTAGAATATTATGTTAAAAATAGTGAACAATTATGTTTATTTGAAGTTAAGCCATTTCAACTTAAACCTTATTTTGATTATTATAATTACTTACAATATGTTAATTTTAATAGTAGAACAATTAATTATAAAATCTAGTCATAATTTTTGAAATATTACATTGTATAATACCTTTAATACTTCAAATAAAACTTTATTATTTAAAGAAAAGTTTGATCATAATTTATTGTATGTAAATATATACATTTTGTTTACAAACAAAAAACAATAACTTTATGGCATAAATCATTATATTATGACCATAATTTTAATACATGGATATTTTGTGAACTATTACCAGATATTGATAAGCATGACATTTTTTTCTTCATTTTTTGGCATAAGCATTTTATAAGCACCCTGTACTGTTTTTATA